ATTTGGGTGGATTTCCATAGGATAATAACCTCATGGTGCTGAATTCTTCAAATCTAGCAAGCAATAAGACTCCCTGACCATGCCCTGAGAATTTCTGAACTTTTCCGTATTTCAGAGGTGGATTTTTCTGGTTTTTGATGATTTTTGTTGCTTTCACTTACAATTGCTACAGTCTCTAAAACAGTTTTAAAAACTACAATCAATATATAAAGGCTTCTGTGGTAACTGACATACATCTATGCAACTGAGAGCTAGGTGTTACAAACTTTAAAAGAATTCTGTCAAGCAACTATAGAGTGACATATGCCACAGCTAGCACTTCCTCTCTAGCAGAAATAAAATAAATGAAGGCTCTTTATTAAACTACTCTTCTGGGTAAAATTAGGTATCTTTACTATTTGGACAATTATGCTCTTTTGGTCAAAACTTGAAAATCTTTCAGATTTAAGAGAAAAAAATATAATATTCTGAAAATTCAGGCATGAGGAATAAGGAATTAAGCTAATGTAATTTCATAATTGTGATTACCAATGATGGGTCTTTACAGCTTAACATTTTGGTCTGCCACATTCACCCCAGCATTTCTCTAAGTGTCCCTGTGAACACAATCACACTCCAAAACAGCACAGATGGCAAAAGTATTTCCATACATGTTTTGAAGTGTTCTACTAAAGGAAGCAAATATTCTTCAGAAACAGAAAATAAAAAAAAAGGAATTAAAATATGGTTTAATTTTGAACCTCTTTTAATATTATGGTTATGCAAGTTTGATTAAAACAGAAATTTTAACCGAGTGAACTGCTCACTGAAGAACAGCTGTGTATAGTCTGCAGTTGATTTTCCACAGCAGTGTGCTGTTCCACAGTCCTTCAGCTCCCTCTGCTGCTTATTTGATTCACAAATTTTTCATATTTGCATGGAATTTTTACTCGGTTTTTTTAACCTCTGCTTTGATGAGAAAAAAGGATGCAGGTTAAAATTGCACCTGAAGCAATGAAATGATTGCTCAAATTGATAAACAGTGCATGCGAAGTTCTATGCCATTATTGTCCCTCTTTTTCTCAGGGAATGAGAAGCCCATTAGACTGTCCTGATTGCTTTCTGGTGCCTTGTTGTGCATATATTCTGCCATTATAATTTCACTTTGTATAACTGAAAAGCATGTGTTGCTTAAACTGACTTTTTCTGGATATGTAATTTTATTTCATAGAAATTATTACATAGAATCAAAGAATCATTTAGGTTGGAAAGATCATTGAGTTTGACTGTTAACCTAACAATGCCAAGTCCACCACTAAACCTACATGTCTTCTAAATACTTTCAGGGATGGTGACTCAACCATTGTTCCAATGCTTGACAACCCTTCCCATGAAGAAGTATCTCCTAATATTCAAACCAAACCTCTCCTGGCACAACTTGAGGTTGTTTCCTCTTGTCCTGTCGCTTGTTGTTTGGGAAAAGAGACCAAGCCCCACCTGACTACAACCTGCTTTCAGGTAGTCGTAGAGACAGATAAGTTTCCCCCAGGCCCCCTTTTCTTCATGATAAAGAACCTAAATTTCTTCAACTGCTTTTTCTATGAATTGTGCTCTAGATGCTTCATCAGCCCTATTTCCCTTTTCTGAACATGCTCTAGCGCTTGAAGTGAGGGGCTCAAAACTGAGCACAGGACTCAAGGTGTGGCCTCACCAGCGCTGAGTATAAAGAGATGATCATTGCCCTGGTCCTGCTGGCCTCACTATTTCTGATACACACCAGGATGCTATTGACCTTCTTGGCCACCTGGGCACACAGTGGCTCACGTTCAGACAACTTGAACCAACAGTCCCAGGTGCACCTTTCCAGACACTCTTCCCCCAGCCTGTAGTGCTGCACAGGGTTGTTGTGACCCACGAGCAGGGTCCTGGCTCTTCACCTTGATTAACCTCATACTGTTGACCTTGACCCATCAATCCAGCCTGACCAGATCCCTCTGCAGAGCCTTCCTATCCTCCAGTAAATCAACACTGTCACCCAGCTTGGTGTCATCTGCAAACTTGCAGAGGGTGCACTTAATCTCCTCATCCAGATCATCAAAAAAGATATTATACAGGACTGGCCCCAATACTGAACCTTGGGGAACATCATGAGTGACCCATAGCCAACTGGATGTAGCACCATTCACACCACTCTCTGGATCCAGCCACCCAGCCAGTTTTTAACCCACTGAACAGTGCACCTATCCAAGCCAAGAGCAGCCAGTTTCTCCAGGAGAATGTTGTGAGACAGTGCCAAAGGCTTTATCAAAGACCAGGTAGACTGCATCCACTAGGTCACCTTGTCACAGGAGATCAGGTTGGTCAAGAGGGACCTACCTTTCATAAACCATACTGGCTGGGCCTGAGGCCTGGTTATTCTGTATGTGCCACATTATGGCACTCAAGATGATCTGCTCCATGACCTTCCCCACCCCAAAGACAAGGCTGACAGGTCTCTAGCTCCCTGGATCTTTTCGACCCTACTTGTAACTGGGCATTACATTTCTAACCTCCAGTCAGCTGTGGCCTTCCCATTAGGCCATGACTGCTGATAAAGGATGGAAGACAGTTCAGTGAGCACTTCTGCCTGCTCCCTCAATATCCATGGTTGGATCCCATCCAGTCCCAGAGACTTGGGTCTAAGTGGTGTAGCAGGTCACGGACCATTTCCCCTTGGATTATGAGGGCTTCATTCTGCTCCCTGCCCATCTCCCAGGTCAGGGGGCTGGGTTCTCAGAGAACAGCTGGTCTTACTACTAAAGACTGAGGCAAAAAAGGCATTGAGTACCTCAACCTTTTCCTCATTGTTACTGTGTTTCCCCTCCCATCCAATAAAGCATCAAGAATCTCCTTAACCCTCCTTTTCTCACAAAGGTATTGATTGAAACACTTTTATTGGCTATTTTACCCAATAGGCACTGCAAAACCTCATAACATCCTTGTAGTCTTCCTGAAAGGCCTGGCCCATCTTCCAACTCTCCTGTTTTCCCCGAGTTCCAGCCAGAGGACTGAGTTCAGTCAGTCTGGCCTGCTCCAGCCCCTTAACAATTTCGTTCTTGAAGAATGTCCAGCCTTCTTGGACTCCTTTTCCCTTCAGGACTGCCTCCCAAGGTACCCTGCCAATCAAGCTCCTAAACAGGATGAAATCTGCCCTCTGCAAGTCCAAGGTAGCAGTTCTGCTGAGTCCCCTCCTTACTTCTCCAAGAATTGCAAAATCAAACATTGTGTGATTATAGTGCCCAACATGGTCTCCAACTCTTTCACAGTGATATACACACATATGTTAAGAATTCTGTCTTCCTATAGCTCAATGTCCTCTTTATTAGCAATATTTCTTGCAGATATCTCTGGAATACTTTCTTTCCAAGATTTTCATCATGTTTGTCTATAAAAAATGTTAAAGAAAAAAAAGCATCTTGCATTTTCTAGTTTTTATTGCTATATTTTTCATTTCTAAGTAGTCTTTATAAAGCTTATCCCAGATAGAAGACAAATTTATATATTCAAACTATGTATTGGTCAAGATACAATATAAATGCAAAAACACACACATTCATTAAAGCAGAACTTTGGTTAATAAGGTACAATGAAGGGAAGGCATTATCTGCCAGAATATATGTCAGAGCTATAAAAAACCCAGCATCATACATCATACTGACTAAAAGAGTGACTTGAAGAACAGTAAAGGTTAAGGGAATATTAACACATACTATTATTCTGATTTCAAAGCAGCTCTGATCCTCAGAGGATTTTGGAAACTGCAGGTCTATAGAGACTACATGGATAATGGGAAGCCTAGAATTCAATGTGTAATTTTCTCCATAGGTATTTAGGTTATTAGACCCATTTTTTTCTGTTCAGATATTCAGCCATGAGATTATGTCAGTCACTGATAAATTACCCCAGGAAAATAAGATTATGAAATTTCAATTTGAAATTCTGTAAAACTACTGAAAGCACAAGTTTGAAGAACTTAGTCAAGACCTAACTTCCTCCAGTAGAACAGGGATGACTTTCTGAGGGATCTACATCAATGCTTAGCCCCAGAAGCAATGTTCCTGTAGGTATGAATTACTACACCTGGAAATAAATGCAACCCACACATAGTCCAACACAAACAGAACGCAGGCAACTCAGACTTGATCAGCTCTCTCAGACACTTTGTGTTTGTTCTGCTTTGTCCTTTGTGAGGACTGTGCTTAGGTTTTAATCTCAAAGTGTTTGCTGCTAATCAGGAAAAGGCAACATACTGCTGTCATCTTCAGGCACCTTGTTCCTGAGTGACACCTTAGAAGCAGGACCACTTGGCTAGAGATTGTTATCACATGACTGAATACTTCCCAGGAGGAAATTACAGAATGATGGTCAGATCCAAAACATTGTAGGCACGTCAAATAAATAGGTGGATTGCAGGAGCCCAAGTCTAGTCAAACAAGGGCCCTGTCAAAGCCTGCCAAATTATGAAGGTACTTGGGATTACCTCCTCCTTTCAGCTGTAGCATGTCAGGCTCTTGAAATTGGTGCATGTGCTGACATTTCCCTTCCTGAGCAGTTCAGTGCCTCACTGCAGCTCAAGTCTCACCAGAGTCTGCTGCTCCACTACAGTCAAATTATATATTGCCCAAAAAAGCTTAATACATCAACAGTCCTGTTGCCACAAAACATTCTGGAACACAGAACAGAACACAACACCAATCATCTTACCTGGTCCTCCAACACCAAACACAATGAGGACATGAGCAGCATGTTCAGAGTATAAAGCACTCAAGTCACAAAAGCTTTCCCACCACTGGAAATATTGGACCACCCAAGAATTTCAGGAGGTGCTCAAAAGCAAATGTGGCAGTTACTAAATTTTGGGTTTAGCCATAGTTATTAAATCTAGAGTTAAGAGCTGTAGTTCAGGTGCCCATCTTTTAAAATAAAGTGATGAAGATCATCAGGTTCATTACTGTGTATCAAAGACAGGGAAAATGTGAAGATTTTATGGAAAGATTTATTCAGTAACAACAAAATTTTCAGAAACCAAGTCCTAGTCAGTCAGAGTGAAAAAATTAAAAGCACATTGAATTGTATTTGACGAGTCATTTGGCATACTAAATTATCTTTCTGGAAACAGGTGAGGAAGCACCATTTTTAGTCTCATACATTTACCCCATTTACTTCCATGGAAGTTGGCTCATGAAAAATGTCTAAAAATTAATTTATATATTTGATAGATTTGCCCCTTCCATGAGCACTGAGGGCACAGACTATAACTCCAGATGTTACTGAACAATCAGGTATTAAATGTCATTTCTTACATGGCTTTCCCCAGCCCCCCTTACAAATTAGCAGTATAGCGATCTCTGTTCTGAAAGTCTCTGTAAGCACGTTTTGCATCAGCCTTGCTGTGTGGGATTCTTCCAAAAGGTTCCAGATCATTGAAGCAGGCATCAAAAACTTCATCCACAGCTTTTTCTGCCGTTTCTTTGCTAACTTTTCTAACAGCCAGAATGGAACGAATTGCTCTGTCTCGTACACAAGTCTGAAGTGAAAAAAAAAAAAAATCTGTCATTATTAGCATAATTTTTTTTCCAGATTTTGTCAAGTATTAACTCCTATTATATAGGTGACAATTTTGTATGAAAGAAGAGTCAAATAGTGCCTGTAGTAAGCATTAAAATACATTTTAGTTTCATCATGTGTAAACTATGTGCTTTAGTTTTCCATGTATACAGAAACCATGAAATAATTAGAAGACATTCCTTAGAACAGGAATTAAAATACAATTTGGCATTTTTTGTAGGTATTAAGTATTTGTAAAACTTGACCTCGACACAAAAAAAAGTCAGAAAGAAACAGACAAATACCAGTTGGGTTCTTTACAAACTGAAATGCTGTAAAACAAAGGAATGACTTCTCTACTGGCCTTCATTTTAATACTTCTCTTTAAAATAACTTTTTCTTACAGTTTGTTTACCAAAAAACAAAAAAGTACGTAAACATCATCTACAATTTAACCGCCACTCTAACATGTGCAACTACGTGGGTCTCAATCTGTAGACTTCATTATTATTCACAAAAATAATTCCTACAAGACTTAAAACACTTGACTATTTAGAAATCTTCTCATTTTGCTTCCTTCAGTTTTCAATGACTTTTTAAGAGTGTCACCCACTTAAAGTGGATAAGGTATTTCCACTACATTTCCTGCAAGCCCTGCTTTTTGTTTGGTTTTGTTAGCCATCAACTGTCAGTGCTTTAAAACAGGACTAAATGTTTAGGGATTTCACTCCAATAAAAATAACAAGGTGAGGAAAAAAACCTAACATTGATCATTAAGGGTTAGTTAAGAGGAAACAGCAACTCCATGACATCTATTTCTTTTTCTGAAGTTTTCAGCTGTGAAAGCTCAGAAGGCCAAGACCAAGTAGGTAACAAAACAGATTATTAGATTTTCATAGCCACAGGTTTTACCTGATGGTGCCCTTTCAATCCAAATTTAAACCTGGCTATTTCATTCATCAAAGTACAGTCTCCACTGAGATTAGCAGCTCGAATCTATTGAGAAAAATAAAAAAATCGTAAGATCAGAGAAACACATGAAAATACAAAGTCAAAGAAATTGTAACAAACACTTTTCTTCAGTATATTTCTGGTGACTGTTGGTAGAGGATATTCCCGAGGCCACTTTAACTTCTTAAGTACCTGTCACTACCATACCCTTTACATCCATCTCAGCCTCAGTGAACTACAACAACCTTCAAGTTTCTTCAGGAATTACCTCTCACACATCTCTAAAATTTAAATAAATGAGCAGTAGAGAGTATATATATGTGTGTATGTATATAGATGAACTCCTAGAAGAACATGGAAAGTAATATTCTCCCCAGTCTATATCAGAATCTGCTACAGCAGTCAGGAAGAAAGGCAGATACCTTTCAAAGACTACAGATGCAAAGACTTTTCAAAGACTACCAGAAGAGCAGTAACCCATCTATTTTGCAAAAAGCTACACTTAAATAAGCATGTATGCTTAAGCTCAACTGCCTTGTCCTGTACACTAGAATTTCTTTTGTCTGCTAAATATTCTATTCCCTACACAGTCTGCTAGGAAATGTAAATAAATCCTGTTTTCCTGTAATTAAGTACCAGAGTGAAAATAAAGGCATGGAAAATATGAAAAAATAAGAATTAAAAAAGCCGACAACAAAAAATGCAAATACCATATAATTAAGTAATCAAAAGACCTGAAGTGAACAAGTAATCCTGACATGAGCAAGAACATGAACAATCTTGATTTATATAAAACTTATGTTTGAGGTTTACATGCTTTATTCCACACTGTGGAAATGCTTGGACAAAAAAATAAAGTATATGACAGTTAATAACTAAGAACAATTGTACTGAGTTTACATGGCAAAATGTTGGCAGTGAGGGGCTTCCAGGGTGTCTTCTGTGAGACTGGAGAAGTGGCTGAGCCTGTGTCAGACAGAGACTGTTTTAACTGGTTTTAAAACAGACTCACCATTAGTGGTGTTGGTTTTAGCTCTGTGATTACACATTCAAGAAAGGATAAAAAACCTACAGCTACTACTCTGTGAGACAGAGGAGTGATGAAAATGTGAGGGAAACAGCCCCACAGACGCCTAGGAAAGACAGGGAGGAGGTGCTGCAGGCATCAGAGAAGAGCATGGAGACAGAGGTTGCCTCCCTGCAGTCTGTGAAGGAACACAGTAGAGCAGATATCCACACAGCAGTCCATGGAAGACATCCTGACACGAGAGACAAATATGCCCTGAAAAAAGCAGCAGCCCACAGAGAGCCCATGCAGGAGTACATTTTCTGTCAGGAACTGTGGGCCTTGGGGGACAAATGCTGGAGCAGTCCATTCTTGAAAGACTGTATGCTATGGAAAGAACTCAAGTTGGAGCAGATCTTGAAGAACAGCAGCCGAAGGGAAAGACTCATGTTGAAGCAGCTCATGAAGGACTGTATTTCATGGGAAGGGCCTCAAGCTGGACTAGGGAAAGAGTGCAAGGATGAAGGAGCAGTAGAAACAAAGTGTTATGAACTGACCCCAGTTCACATTCCCTGGCTCCCTGTGCCACTTGGCAGGGAAGGATATAAAAGAATGAGAAATTAAAGAGTGAAGCTGAGCCTGAAATAAACTTTTCTGTGACAAAATTATATGGAATACATCATAAATCAAATAAAAGCATGCAGACTCATACACACAACACCTGTGTCACATACACAAGAGGAATACCTCCCAGCCTGTGCTCCATTTAATTTCGCCTCCTAAAGTGTGAAGTGTTAAGGCCTTTAATACTCAAATGTCTTCTGAAACCACAGAATGGTTTGAGTTGTAAGGAGACTTAAAGATAATCAAGCTCTTATCTCCCTGCCATGGGCAGGGACACCTTCCACTAGACCAGGTTGCTCAGAACCTCATCCGAAGGTGATGGATTTGTAACTACAGTGTACCAGCAGAAATACCACAATTACTCAAAAAATGAATGTTACAGGAAAAGACAAGTTTGTTGTTAATCAAAAACACCTAAACAAAACCAAGGTTACTGTGGTAACTACCCAACTTGCTTGGGATAAAAAGAATTCTATAAGCATTTGATTAACATGTGAATGCGTTTTCACTTCTAACAACTCTCTTGTTTGTCAATAACCACTTCTTACATTCACAGTGATCACATTCCACTTAATGTGACATGGACTTACTAATATTTGTGAAAACTAAGTATTTGTTTTCTGAACAAAACCATTTAGGTTGACCTGACAGAAAGGACAAAATCTATTAACAGGATTAAAACAAATTAATTGTGTGTAGCAGACCATATAACACAAAGCAACCCTAACAACCAGCAATAATTAATAAAATGACAACATAAGAAGCATTTTAACTTACCTCAGAACATGCTAAGTGTTTGACATTTTTAAACCAGTCAACGTGTGCACGGCAGTGATCAAATGCATGAATCAATTCATGTGTGACCACCCGGTTCATATGGGATTGTTGGCGAATGTTGTTCTGACACAGAACAATCTGCAGAAAAAGAGATATACGGAGTTTTTCATTAAGTTTCAACACCTCCCTGACTTCTCAGAGACACACCACTGACAGCATTTAGGGTCCTTGGATTGGTGTTCTTCAACATCAACAGTCTTATCATACTGAAGTGTTCTAGTATCAATGCCATGGAACATCTTTCATTTATCTTGTTTTCATTATTAACTCATGGAACAGTATGGGTAGATTAATCCTAACAACAAAACACTAAAAAAATTGCAGTCCTTTGAAAGGATACTATGTCCAGCACCTACCTGAGATGTGGCAGCATCAAAACCTCCACTGACACAGCCATCACAGTTTTCACAAGAAAAGTGCCGATCATTGAAGACAGTGCTGAAAGGCCCAAACAAAGTCACAGAAAAGAATTTTAAAAACTTCAGCCACTACTTATGACAGTGACATTACTATACAGAACGAGACAAATTAGTTTACATACCAACCAGATTGCTTCAGAGCCTCAAGGAGAAGTCGAGCATATGGATCTAGAAAAACATTGCTGCAATCAATTTCTCTAGACAAAAGTTTTGAAAACCATCTATAAACAAAATATAAAGACAGTCAAGGAAAAAAAATCAAATAAGAAAAGCTCTATACACACAAATTTATACTTTGCAGTACTTAATCCTATTGCAGTGAACTGGCATCTGTTACAAACCAGACTATGCGATATAGAATCACAGAACAGTTTGAGTTGGAAGGGACCTTAGAGATAAACTAGTCCCAATCCCCCTGCCATGGGCAAGGACACGTTCCACTCAACCAGGTTCCTCAGATCCCCATCTAAATGGGCCTTGGAACACTCCCAGACATGGCGCAACCACAGCTTCTGTGGGCAACTGTCGCAGTGCCTCACCACCCTCACAGTAAAAAATTTCTTCTGTATATCTAGCCTAAATTTGCCCTGTTGCAGTTTCAACTCATTATTCCTTGTCCCATCACTGCAATTCCTGATGATGAATGTCTGGTTTCCACGTATGCCCCTTCAGACACTGGAAGGCTGCTCTGAGGTTTCCATGCAGCTTTCTCTTCTGCAGGCTGAACAGCCCCAATTTTCTCAGCCTGTCTTTGCAGGGGGAGCTGCTCCAGCCCCTTTAGCAACTTGACAGCCCTGCTCTGGACTCACTCCAACAGTTCCATGTTCTTCTTCTTATGCTGGGGGCACTAGACGTGGCTGCAGTTCTACAGGTGGGGTCCCAGGAGAGCAGAACAGAGGGGGAGAATGACTTCCACTGACCCACTGGCCATGGTCTTTTTGATGTATCCCAGGATACAGAGTAAAAGAAGCTGTTCAGCAATCAAGTCACTCCTGACATTATTTTATTACTAATAAACATAAACAGAGTGGTCTATAGTGACCATCGTTTGCTGTCAACACTCATAGTCCACACCAAACAGTGCAAGGGGCACGAATGCACAGACATGGACAAATCATCTCAATTCCTCTGGAAAAAAAAAAAAGAAGTACAGGAGAACCTTCTTACAACAAAAAAGCCTCCCTCAGCCACTTTCGAAATTGTATTTTCTCTTAACCAAAATCAGCGTGTTCCTAAATCAGCAGCCCCACCTCGCCACCGGCTGGGGCCCAGTCCGGCCGCCGAGGGGGTGCTACGGCAGGAGGGCACGGCCCTCGCCGGGACCCGCGGCACAAGGTCACCGGCGCGGGCGGCCCGGGTTCCGCCCGGCACCTCTACGCCGCGGCCGGGCCCGCAGGAGGACGGGGAGCGCTTACTCGTTTCCAGGGTCAGCCTCAGCATCAGCTGGCACTTGTTGTGGAAGGTGAAGAGGCTGCGGACCAGGAAGCTCTGAGGCTTCTTATTCCGGTCCGGGAAGAGCCGGTAGCCGAAATCTTCCTCCTCCTCCTCCGCCGCCGCCCCCTTCTTCTCTGCCGCCGGCGGCGAGTCCGCCTCCCCTTCCCCCATGTCCGGCCGTGCCGTCACCCGTCTGCCGGGGCACGCGGGGCCCGGGGCCGCGCCAATCGCCGGCCGCGCTCCCGGCACGTGGGAGCGGGGCGGGGCCGCGCGCGCAGGCGCTGTCACCTCCTGGCGCCCGGGGCCGCACTGCAGCCTGGGAGCGCGCCGGGCAGCGCGGGCGGCGGCGCGGGAGGAGCCGGGCACGGCGCAGGTGAGGCCGCGGCGGGACCGGGCCAGCGCGGTGTGCGATGCTCTGGCGGCGCCGTTCCGCAGCCGCATCCCCGGCCCTGTGGTCCACGGGTGGCTTGGCCGCGCGGGGTGGCGAGGCGGGCGGGGAGCACACCGTGATGGAGTCAAGGCCTCGCTTGCAACTTGCGGGCGGCGCAGAGGCGGGTGCTGGGGCTCGGAGGGGCTGCTTGGCCTCGGAGCCGCTCCCGGGCGGGCCTATGCTGCCGGCCGGGCCGCCGGCGTGCTGCGGCGCTCCAGGGGAGGCCCTGGGAGCTGCAGCAGCCTTCGCGTGTTGGGGGGGCTCAGCCTTGAGAGTGGAATAAAAGTGCCCTGAAGCGTGTGAGGGCTGCGCCGCAGAGGCTGCTGTCAGTGCGTGGATTGAAGGCGTTGCTAAGTCCTGTGCGGCTAGTAACGGAGCAATTTGACTTCAAACACTTCAGCGGGACGCTCTAGAGTGGCAGAGAAGAAACAGCCAGATTTTATGTTAGATATTCGCCTGCGTGAGAATGCTGTTTTAGTCAGGTATAGGAAAAAGAAAAGTTCAACAGACTACAAGATTTTTTTTTGCATATTTTTAAGTATTTTGTTCTACCTGCCTAGAAATGCTAGGCTGTATGGAATACTTAATGGGTCCAAAGCTCAAGCTGCACGAAATTAACAGACTGCATATTACAGTGGTAGTTCGGCTTGGGGACAGCAGTTGAAGGTGGAAAAAAACATAGTAAGCTCCTTAAATGGAAACGTGATGAAAGCTATGTATGTTTGGCTTCACTGAAAGTTTATTTCTGTTTTGTTTCAAATAGTCCTAATAGGCTGCTCAGGATAATTATGTCAGCACCTGTGCATGAACAAGGGAGAAATAAACTGCTGCAGCAGGGCATCTACTCAGCTGCTTATCCCTGAGCATGTAAAAACGTTTCTGCTTTGGTAGCATTAGTTCAGTAGTAATCATGCCATGTGTTTTTTCATCTCTTTGAGACCCTTGTCTGAGACCCCCATTATGGATGGCACATTTTACCACAGAAATCATTTGCTTTGTATGGCTCATAAATTTTTATATTGTTGTGCTACTAGGTTATTGCATGGGTGTGAAAAATAGCATTAAATAAAGGATGTCAAATAGCCTAGACCTATTTCTTCCTTAAAAGCTTTATGTGTAGTATCTCTACAAATAGCTTATTTATATTTCCATGAGGCTTGTGACAGATCCTGAAGCTTGCCATCAAGAGGTTATAGTTAGCAATAATTCATAACTCTGTCTAAGTTTGTATTTAGCTTACCATGAGTTACTTAATCATGATTGTTTTCAAAATATGTTTGCTTCATCCTTTCAGATTTTTGTGCTACGAACTGTACAGATGTGGGGATTCTTTTTTTTCTGAATTGTAAACAAAATTTTTTTAAGGTGACTTTTTAATTGTTACTTGATATTTTTGTGATAATAAAACTTCTTTCACTTAAGACAACAAAATTGAGACAACAAAATCTATGAAGACAATCAAGTGTTAATTATTAAACAGTGTTCTAGGGACTTGCTTGCAGTTTCAGGATTACCATTGACTTTTGGGTGCTTTACCTTATATTTAGTTAGGAAAATGTGAATTGCTGTTTGTTATGATATACTTTGTTTTATCTGAATAATGTCTTCCCTTCATTTTTTCAAAGACATTTAAACTGTGTTGTTTCTTAGTCTCTTAGTCTTTAATGTTCCTACTGTGCTGCTGGGAAGTCTGACTGGTGTGTAAGTCAGACTTGTTAATATTGAATTAGCTAGCTTCCTTCACTGCATACTTCCAACTTATTTTTAGAAGGCTTTTTTCCTTGAATTTTGGCAGATTATGATGAGTGCACCAAGTAAAGCGATAGAACTGCAGCTGCAAGTGAAGCAAAATGCTGAAGAGCTGCAGGATTTTATGAGAGAATTGGAGAGCTGGGAAAAAGATATTAAAGAAGTGGATTCTGAGCTCAGGAAACAGAGTGGGGTCCCAGAAGAGGTAAGAAAAGACAAGACCAGTGTCAACTCAGCTATTCATACTGTAATAGTGTTTATAATAATTATGTTTTACGTTAGCAAAATTACATTTTTTTTTACTTAAAATATCTGAATAGAAGGCATAAACCAATCTGTGATGTGTTCATCGCCTGAAGTAAATGAGAGATTCCTCTGTAAACTGCACCACCAACAGAGCTGTGGGCCAGTAGCCCCTGAAGGTGATGAGGCCAGTAAATTTTTTATCGGTTCTGGGTAGGTCTATGAGAATATTTCTGTTTGCAGCATCAGTATTGGTAATGTACTGCTGAAATTTAGTATATTGAAGTGATTCTTCAAGTGATACTCTGAGGAGAGTTGTCTTCTAAAACTCAGTTTTGTATCATACATGTAATATGTACTATTAAGTGTTGAAAGATTTATGCTTGTAGTTGTTAGTGGTTTTGTAGAGCTCATGAGAACAGCTTGCTGGATGGATTTCTAAAATAAAACTAGCCACTAGATAAATATTCTGTCTAGATACAGGTGCTGTAGATTCTTCAGTGCAAGTGATTTTCACACATCTGTTTTATAATAAGTTACTTAATTCTGTTTAGAATTTGCCACCAATTCGAAACAAGGCTTTTAAGAAAAAGAAGAAAAGCAAAAATAAAGTCCCTTCAAAGATAACCTCTGAGGAAAACAAGAAAAACAAGATCAAGTCTTACGATTATGAAGCATGGGGAAAACTTGATGTGGTGAGTCTCAAGATTTGCTTTGTTGCCAGAGTCTTGTCCCCAGCTGATTCTGTGTTAAATAAAATTTTATTGCAGTGCTGAGAATTCAGTCCACTAGTCAGTATCTTACTGTGCTGGGTATTGTATGAACATAGGGTAGCTTTCTCCCAATAAGGTTACATGTTTAATATTTGGAATATTAATAAATACTTGGTTTTCTATTGACTGTGCTTTCATCCAGCAGATTGAATTTGAGGTTAATGGGTAAAAAACCTTGTTTTAACAATAGGCCTATTGAGAGGTGTAGGAATGCTCCCCCTAGTGACAGAGTGGCAAAACTAACCTTTGTCCCTCAAAAAAAGAAAGAAGCCCAGAAGCTTCTCTCAACTGTTAGGTGGAAAGCCACCTTATAGGGCCTCAGGGACTTCACCAAACACCAGAGAACATCTAATTGGATAGACGCCAAAAGTCCCGCCTGGTCAATCAAGTAGAAAAGAACAGAACAAAAGAGAAGAGGGGCTTTTGTGTGAAGTGTTTCTACCGGGGCAGATCTCTCTACCTGGCTCGAGTTTTTCTGTTTGTTATTTTGCCTTTATTAAACCTTTTTTGTTTCTTAACACCACAGCAGAAGCCATCCTTGTTATTTTATGCCCCCAAAGTGTAGCTGAGCTATCCTTGGGTGTATTAAGTGTTTTTCTAGGGCTTATGAGAACTGGCCCTGGGACAAACAACTTAATAAAGAGGTCATAATTATAGTAGAATATAAGACTAAGCACAACTGTCAGTGTCGGAGGACACATTAATAAAATCTTATTTGTATTATTTTGCGCTGTTAAATTATAAAGAAGACAACAGTTTGGATTTTTCTCTGATTCCAGGATAAAATACTTGAAGAACTTGATAAAGAAGATAGTACTCATGATTCTGTATCTCCAGAATCAGACTCTGAAGAAGATGGAATTCACGTAGATACTGAAAAGGCTCTTGCAGAGAAGGAAAAGGTTATAGAATTATAGATGCTTATTACTGGTAAAGAGGAAAGTTAAGTATAGGAGTATTTGCAATTTTCTTTTAAAAGATCATTTACTGGGACCACACACCTGGTAAAAGAATTGCCTATTTGGAAGTCTTCCTGTCTGTTTCATTATTGCAAAATAGAAAATTACTCACTGCAGTTCTATTCCTTCTCATTGTCAGCAGCAGCAAGCTTGGCCAATTCTAATTAATGTATGCTTGTGATGACAAATGTATTTGTGATGTTTTGCTTGGGGAAGTTGAACGGCTGTATAGAATTGCAGTATAGAGCAAACTGTTTTTTACCTGAACACAACATCTGAATGCCCCAAACTAAATCTTCAAGAACTTAAAAATACTCCCTTTGTGAGGCCAGTACATCTGGGAACGATGGGTGAACTTCATTGCTTTAATAATGGCAAGTTTATACCACTTCAGTTTTACCTAATAAGGTAGGATATAGAAGGAGATCTGTCTCAGGCTTTGTTGCCATGAAAAAGAGGCTAAGCTGTGTAACAGCTTCTGTTTTTGATAAACTTCTGTTTGTAAGCAATCACCTAACCCATCTGCCAGTCAATATTGACATCAGTAGTTCTAGCTTGGGTTTGGGTTTTTATGGGTTTTGTGTTTATTTGTTTTAAATTGTGTAAGTGGGTGATATTTGTGTTGTATTCCTGCTGCTGTGGGAATTCCTTCACATGTAATCTGTAGTCTACACTGAGAAGCTGGGGCATCTTTGGCCATTATTATCTTGGCTGCAGTGAGGTCGTTGAGGGTGCGTGAGGTAAAAGTTGTGTCCCAGAGGAGGCAGAAATGAAAATGTTGACTTGGAAAGTAAAGATGCCAAACCTAGTTACTGAAAACTTAAAAAAACCTAATTTGGTAATTTAAGTAGCTATGTATATGCTTACATGTTTCTGGAAATGACCTAGAGATACTGAAAGATGAATATTTTACAGACCTGTGTTGTAGAATATATAATGAAAATTATTTAATATAGTGCACTTAG